TTGCTGTTAGGAACGTTCTCCCCTAACAAGGGTAGTAGAGTGCTGCTTTACTACCTGCCTGCAGTCCGTGATCTACACTTGATCGGGACTTATGACTGGGCCAGCTTGGCCTATGCTGACTTCATCCGAGCATTATGAGACTCGTGTCAACACCGGTCCTTCACGGGGAACGTCGCTCTATCCGGCTTTTGGAGGGTCGTAGAGGTATACTTTATCTCCCATAAAGTTTAGCTCTAAGCTTTGATTAGCACTTGGTGATGATTTTTGCATTTTGTAGATCTAGTTCTACGAATACTTTCCCTCGGTTGCGCCGGCGAGATCATCGCCGCGCAGGTTTCCAATGAGTGCTTCCTGGGGAAGCCGTCGTGCTGGGACGTCAACTGCTTACGTCTTAGATTGGATCATCTTGGTATGATTCTTTGTATATTTGGGTACTTTGCATTACCTTCGATAGATTCTTATCTGATAGGCGTTCTTTGCAGGGGCCTGACGTGTTGTATCGGCCGTGGGTCGGCTTGGTTGTCCCTGGACTAGCCGCGCAGTATACTGCTGAGCGTCGCTATTTCTTGGGGACATATGGAGCGATCACGTATCTTGGAAAGAGGGTTGCTATTCAGCATTCCTCGGACACCTTTGTCGTTCCCGCTCCTCCACCGCGTCACATGTTCAATGCCGCGAGGTTGGTAAGCATGTCAGAGAGAGCTGGTACCCCTTGGCGATCTTATACGATCCTTGGGCGGTGCTATGAGGAGGAGCTACTGCCGTTGTTAGCTGCAGTCCCTGTACTTGCTGAGGAGGTGGCGGTATGATGTTCAACTTTTAACTTTCGTTATGTAGCCCCCAAGTAATGCTTTACTGACTTCGATTTGCTTTTGTCAGGCTGAACCTACTGAGTTCGTGCCACCCCGTATGTCTATTCATTATTAGGGGACATACGGGCCGATTGACGAGATGATTACTCCAACTCTTGAGGGTGAGCGCTTCATGGAGCGGTCGATCCCTCGCCATCAGACTCGAGTAAGCTTAGTTATTTGCAACTTTTGTCCATATATGTTATGCATGTTTACTGACTTTATTTTCTTGACAGTTCTCACGCGAGGTGGTTACGGCGATGGCACGGTGCATAGATGCCTTCTGAATCAAGCTCGTTCGGATGAGGAACGTGGCTACATGTCGTCAACACGACGCCGTTCAGGAGGTAGTTTTCCTGCTTACGTTTTTGCATTACTGCTTCTATTTTGCGTGTTTCTGATTTTAGTTCCTTTTACAGGGTCAGCCCATTCCTTCTCGTACCCGTACGAGACCTGAGGTGCAGAGGGAGTCGGCAAGGTCCAGCTCGAGACGTCGCCGCATTGGTTCTGGCGGTCGAGGCAATTATTTTGAGGCTGCCTGTACCGAGGCGATAGAGGGCTCGGCTCTTCATCCGAGGGTGCACATGCTGCGCCGGTAGGCCAGGGAGAGGCTACCTCGGCTCTTAGAGGTGGTGGGATGTACGAGGTTAGCTCGTCATCGCAGTAGCCTCCGCAGCCTCAGCCTCAGGTTGATCTTGGGTGGACGGGTCCTGTGGTGAGTTTTCCACCTCCCGAGGAGACCGGAGCTGGAGATGGAGATGGAGCTGGAGCCGGAGCTAGTGGAGAGGTTACTCCTCGTACGGTGCAGTTTAATGAGATGATGGGTGTATAGAGCTGGAGCCGGAGCTAGTGGAGAGGTTACTCCTCGTTCCTGTGCTTTTCATTTTATTTTGACTTTGTATAGAACTTTGCCTTTATTTAGACTCATTATTTAGACATGCTTGTATATACATATTATTTATTATATATTATTTTTTCATTTTTTAATGTGCATGTTTGTGTGTGCAAAGAATTGTGAAAATTAATTTTGCGCAAAAATTCCGTCATTTTTATTATTAATGGGTATCCCACTCTCTCCCCAAAAAAGAAAATTGAAAAAAATTAAAGTAAAAAAATATTGGATTTATAAAAACTTGGAAGTAAAGTCAAAATAAAATCCGAAAAATAATATAGTTAATATAATAGTTGTATTAATTAAGAGGAAGAAATAAATGAAAGGTATAAAAAGGAATAAAAACCGTAAAGTCATTGGTCAAACTCGAATCAGGCCAAAAACGCGGTTTTTTTGGAAAGCTCGTACAATAAGACACGTTAGCGCCACCTGGCGCCACGCGTTTTGGTGTAGCGCCAGGCGCTACGCTTAGCGTTTGGTGCCAGGCTTTGGCGTGTGGTGCTAAAGAGCGTTGGCTCTGAATCCTTCCCAGATTGAAACTCCGCCAATTTTGTGTATAAATAGCTCCCTGCCCAGCCGATTTTCTTCATAATTTCAGCAGATTAAATATATTCTTAGCTCTTGAAAAAAAGAAAAATCATGTCTCTAGTCTCTAAAAGTTTTACCAACTTCACTCATGAATGGTGTCGGTCTCTTAATTCCAAGGAGAGAAAAGAGTTAGATGTGTTTCACCTGGGGGTATTTATGGTGACAAATTTGATACTTATTGGAGCGCTAGACCTTTATGGGAAGTTATTACCCAAAAGGTTTCTCCTTCCTTGCCCAATGATGTGAAAAGTGGCTTCTGAGGAATCCTTCAAAGGACATGAGGAAAAATCAAAGTAAAACTGATGTGAAGAGTCGTCTAGGTGACAAAGTGATTCCTGTTAAGGAACGCTTGGGTGAAAGAGTTGTGTTCAAAACACCTACAATTCCTAAGAAGAAAAGCTCTGCGAAGGATAAAGGAAAAAGGAACATGGGGTCCTGGCTAAAGAAGAAACTATTTACTCCCAAATTGATTGTAGGTCCTCTAAAGGATGCCTACTAGCTAAAGTTATGGAGAGGAGGAAGACGCAGATAAGAATTGGAAGAGGGCAAAGAAAGAGAAAAAAGATTAAAAGCATTGCTAAACTTTCAATTATTAGACTTAGTTTTAAATTCAAAGATAATTTATTTAGGCTTTATTTAAATTCCATCAATAATGTAATTTATGAAATTCGAGCTTTTTAATTAAATTATCTCCTTTAAATTTAAATTATTAAAGCAATGAAATTCGAAAATTTAATATTCCAGAAATTAATTTTCGAGTACGGAAGTCGAAAATTTTCCCAAAAACACCGAAGTATTTTGTGACCTGGCGCCCGCTGCGGCAGTCGGGCGTCAGACGATAGAGTCTGTCGTCTGGCGCTAAGGCTCATCGGCTTGCGCCAGAATTTTTTCTGTGACGCAGATGTTTCGTCAATCATTTGTTGAATTTTTTATTAAGTCTAGGATGCGAGGTTTGAAAAAAATAAAGTGGCCGCACCCGTAAATGGTTGCCTACGTATCCTTTCTTAAGGAATCAGGCCAAACGTAGCTCTCTTGAGTGTCCTACTCAAGTAATTATGGGTAGTATTTTTTAAGTTGGTCAAGATTTGTCATGTTCTAGAACTCATTGCCATCCATATCAGTTAATTTTGCTGCACCTCCTGACAGGATTGTTTTGACAATGTAGGTCCCAAACCAATTAGGTCTGAATTTTTCCCTTGGATCTTAAACATTTTTCCTTAATGCTTTTAACACCAAATCTCCTACTTTAATGTTTCTTGTCTTGACCTTCTTATTAAAATGCCTAGCCATACGAGTTTGGTAACATTGAGCGTGATGTAGAGCTTCTAGTCGTTTTTCATCAAGTAAAATTAGCTCATCATATCTTGCCCTAGTCCATTCAACTTTATCGAGTTTTCTTTCTAATGCGATGCATAGAGATGGAATCTCTAGCTCGATAGGTTGTACGACATTCATTCCATAAACCAAGGAAAATGGCGTATTTCCTGTTGATGTGCGAATTGACGTGCGATAACCCCACAATGCGAAGTGAAGTTTGTCAGGCCAATCCTTGTAATTTTCCATCATCTTCTCGATGATAGTCTTTAAATTTTTATTAGCTGCTTCGACTGCTCCATTTTCCTGAGATCAATAAGGAGAAGAATGATGATGTTGAATACCATATTTTTGTAGCAATTCTTCACACTCGGCTTGAAAGTGAGTTCCATTGTCACTTATCATTTCATATGGGGCTCCATATCGACAAATAATATTTCTTTCGATAAAGAGCGCTATATGTTTTGCAGTGAGTTTGGCGTATGATTGTGCTTCGACCCACTTTGTGAAGTAATCAATTTCCACTAAGATATATTCGTGACCTCCTATTCCTAGGGGAGTGATTTTGCCGATGATGTCAATTCCCCATGTAGAGAATGGCCATGGCGACGTGTAGGTGTAGAGCAAAGATGGAGGAACATGTTGTAAATTAGCGTTGATTTGGCACTTAGGGCATCTTTTTACGTATTGATGGTAATCCTTATTCATTGTAGTCCAATAGTATCCTTCACTACTAGAAAACACCTTAATTGCGACGGAAAAAGTTCGTCGTAAACTATGTAAATTCCGTCGTAAAGTTGGTTTACGACGGAATTCCGTCGTAAATGGTTGTCGGAAAACCCTTTGTAGGAAAATGGAAATAATATCGTCGGACTTGGAATTGGTCTTTGATGAAGTTCCGTCGCAAATTTGCGACGGAAAGAGTTCCGTCGCAAAATATGATTTACGAAGGAATTTTCCCTCGCAAAATATAATTTGCGACGGAATTTTCCCTCGCAAAATATAATTTGCGACGGAATATTCCCTCGCAAAATATGATTTGCGACGGAATTTTCCCTCGCAAAATATAATATACGACGGAAGTTTTCCGTCGCAATGTATATTTGTACGATGGAAAATTCCGTCATAAATCATATTTTGCGAGGGAAAATTCCGTCGCAAATTATATTGTGCGAGGGAAAATTCCGTCGCAAATATGTAAATTACGACGAAATATTCCGTCGCAAATTGTATTTCTAGCCCAAAACAAATTTTTGTAATTTTCTGCATTTTCAAACCTGAATTTTTTTAATGATAAATCGACAAAAAAATAAAAATAAATATTGAGTCCTAAAATTGTTGTTTTTAAAAAATTAATTACCGACCTACGAAATTAGGGTTATGTACATATATATATAATAATTATGTCCTAGTACAAAAGATAGTCCATATTTTGGTATCTATACCAAACGAAAGCTAGGTTAGAGTGATTCTATGCTAGACTAAAGCTAAGCTACGGAATCGCCTGGAAACCCTGGCCTGCTCCACCACCACCCGGGTCGTTCCTAGGGTCTCGATGCTGAGGATGAATGGTGGAACATGAGTCGTTGTTGTTGAGACGACTCATCATCTCATCGAAACTCTCCTTGTATCTCCTCTCCATTTCAGCCATTCGGGCTTCCATTTGAGTTTGAAGAGTTTGCACCCTGTGTTCCATCTGGTCTTGCATTTGAGAAATGACAGACGGCGTGTATTGCTGTGAAGAACGGGAACCTCGACCATGTTTTCCATAGTAGATCTCTGCACTTTGGCCAAGTCCCTTCACACGCCCCTTCTTATTGCGCCCACTCACCGACTCCCAATACAACTCATTGGGACTCTTCTGAATCCCCTGACTCATTGTTTCTTCGAGCTTCTTATGGTAGGTGTCCTACAAAATATTGAAGATAAAATAAAATATTGTTAAAAAAACAACCAACAATATGGAGTTATATCGCATACTTTCAGGTGACTAAGGATAGAAATTAAGAAAATTAAGCACATATGTCAATTTTCAACCCTCACTCATCCAAAATCATCCAAATTTGGTCTATATGGCTAAACCCATGCTTATTTTTTAAGTTTTCAAGCAAATGTAAGGTTTCTTTCATCTAACATTCCAATATCAATTGCTTTTAAGTGCCTAAGGATAGAGATTAAGAGAAATAAGCACATATGTCAATTTTCAAACCCTCACTCCTCCAAAATCTTCCAAATTTGGCTTATATGGCTAAAACCATGCCTATTTTCTAAGTTTACAAGCAAATGGACTCGTTATTTCTTCTAACATTCCAATATCAATTGCTTTTAAGTACCTAGGGATAGAAATTAAGAGAAATAAGCACATATGTCAATTTTCAACCCTCACTCCTCCAAAATCATCCAAATTTGGCCTATATGGCTAAAACCATGCCTATTTTCTAAGTTTTCAAGAAAATGTTCTCGATCTTTCTTCTAAAATTCCAATATCAATTTCTTTTAAGTGACTAAGGATAGAAATTAAGATAAATAAGCACACATGTCAATTTTCAACCTTCACTCCTCCAAAATCATCCAAATTTGGCCTATATGGCTAAAACCATGCCTATTTTCTACGTTTTCAAGCAAATGGAATCGTTCTTTCTTCTAACATTCCAATATCAATTTAATTTAAGTGTCTAAGGATAGAAATTAAGAGAAATAAGCACATATGTAAATTTTCAACCCTCACTCCTCCAAAATCATCCAAATTTGGCCTATATGGCTAAAACCATGCCTATTTTCTAAGTTTTTCAGGAATGGACTCGTTTTTTCTTCTAACATTACAATATCAATTGTTTTTTAAGTGCCAAAGTATTGAAATTAAGATAAATAAGCACATATGTCAATTTTCAACCGTCACTCCTCCAAAATCATCCAAATTTGGCCTATATGGCTAAAACCATGCCTATTTTCTAAGTTTTCAAGCAAATGGACTCTTTCTTTCTTCTAACATTCCAATATCAATTTATTTTAAGTGTCTAAGGATTGAAATTAAGGGAAATAAGCACATATGTCAATTTTCAACCCTCACTCCTCCAAAATCATCCAAATTTTGCCCATATGGCTAAAACCATGCCTATTTTCTAAGTTTTCTAGCAAATGGACTCGTTCTTTCTTATAACATTAAAATATCAATTTATTTTAAGTCCCTAAGGATAGAAATTAATATAAATAAGCACATATGTCAATTTTCAACCCTCACTCCTCCAAAATCATCCAAATTTGGCCTATATGGATAAAACCATGCCTATTTTCTACGTTTTCAAGAAAATGGACTCGTTCTTTCTTCTAACATTCCAATATCAATTTCTTTTAAGTTTCTAAGGATAGAAATTAAGAGAAATAAGCACATATGTCAATTTTCAACCCTCACTCCTCCAAAATCATCCAAATTTGGCCTTATATGGCTAAAACCATGCCTATTTTCTACGTTTTCAAGCAAATGGACTCGTTCTTTCTTCTAACATTCCAATATAAATTTCTTTTAAGTGACTAAGGATAGAAATTAAGAGAAATAAGCACATATGTCAATTTTCAACCTTCACTCCTCCAAAATCATCCAAATTTGGCCTATATGGCTAAAACCATGCCTATTTTCTACGTTTTCAAGCAAATGGACTTGTTCTTTCTACTAACATTCCAATATCAATTTATTATAATTCTAAGGATAGAAATTAAGGGAAATAAGCACATATGTCAATTTTCAACCCTCACTCCTCCAAAATCATCCAAATTTGGCCTATATGGCTAAAACCATGCCTATTTTCTAAGTTTTCTAGCAAATGGACTCGTTCTTTCTTCTAACATTCCAATATCAATTTATTTTAAGTGCCTATGGATATAAATTAAGATAAATAAGCACATATGTCAATTTTCAACCCTCACTCCTCCAAAAACATCCAAATTTGGCCTATATGGCTAAAACCATGCCTATTTTCTAAGTTTTTAAGCAAATGGACTCGTTCTTTCTTCTAACATTCCAATATCAATTTCTTTTAAGTGCCTAAAAATATAAATTAAGATAAATAAGCACATATGCCAATTTTCAACCCTTACTCCTCCAAAATCATCCAAATTTGGCCTATATGGCTAAAACCATGCCTATTTTCTAAGTTTTCAAGCAAATGGACTCGTTCTTTCTTCTAACATTCCAATATCAATTTCTTTTAAGTGCCTAAGGATAGAAATTAAGACAAATGAGCACATATGTCAATGTTCGACCCTAACTCATCCAAATTCATTCAAAATAAGCATATATTGAGTTCTACTTTGCTAATTTGCCATATTTCAACTCATATAATAAGTGTTTACCGCAATCCTTTTTGCTTTGTTGTTGGCAGCCACTTGGCCTTTACCAGGCACTTCCTTGAAGTGTGTCTTCAAGAATAGATCATGGGCATTTGGTAATTGGCCTTGGTTTTTTGCAGCCTTTATATGTACATGTAGAAAATCAATGAAAACATGTTAGCCCACCAAAATTCATTAATAGACAAATGACATAATTGTTACTGGACATATTGTAGTAACCTTACCATCTTTTTATCATGTTGTACAGATGACATTGAACCTTGAATGTGGGTCGGTTCAACGACATTTTCCATGGACCCGCCTCTTTGGTTCTTCTTATTTTGTTCCGACCGCTTCTGATATTTTGGATCGGTGGCAACAATTTTCATCATGCCTTCGTGGACATCCTTATTAAGCCATCTTGGTTTGCGACCATTCATTCTGTGTGTGATGTTGTAGAATGTGTCACGTAGGCGATTTGCAAACTTTTCTTCGAAAGTGTCCTTCACTTGGTTGTTTAACTCAGGTGCCCACTTGAATTTTTTCTGCAAATCAAGAAAATGTCTTTATTACAAAATTCAACTCCATCAATATAATTTATAAAACATGTATTATGTTAGGTTAAAGTTATCATACGTTGAGCAAGTTCCAAAAGTGCTCTCTAGAATCTTCATCAACTTCTCCATAATTCCTCCAAGGCTGAACATAGTAGCCGGTTAGCGAGTCGAAGAGCACATTCTTCACCAGCCTATCATCAAACCTATAATAAAGGATAGACATTCATGTAAGTAGATAATCAACAAAAAGTGAACAAAACATGGTTAAAGTAATAGAAATTCACTTTATCAAAGTAAATATGAATTTAAGGATATTTCATTATACAAATACATACGCACCAAAGTGTGGAAGGGTCCAACTTTAGCAAGTCATTAGGATGCGGGTCCTGTAGCTCTTGTTCCTGAAGTTGTTGTTGCTCCTGTTGCCCTTGTACATTTCTGACGATTTCTTGAGAGGCCCCCAAATCATGTGCCTCTGCTTCCTCCATTGACTCATCCTCGTCAACACGTACAACCGGAGATTTCCCCTTAGACTTTCTCCTCTTGGACGTTTCTCCTTTATTTCCTCCTCCCATGATGACCACCTGAAAAAGTTATTAGTACCATAATCGCACATTGTAAATTCATAAACTAGATCCATAAGACATTAAAATAATAAAATGATACCAAAAATGTAATGCAATATTACAAATCCGAGTAGTCATTAAAAACTAAACATTCGAAGACAATAGTAAAAGGAGTAACTACATATTCTCCTCTTCATTACTCTTATCACTACTACCACTATCATTATCACTATCATTATTACTATCACTAGTGTCATCTAAAAATACATCGATGTCCTCTTCTTCGTCACTGTCACTGGAGCCAATGATTTCTTCTTCTTCTTCATCGCTTGAGATAATAAAGCCATCGTCATCATCATCATCACTATCAAGTTCATAGTCTGGAATGTCATTTGGTGGACAAAGCGTTGCATGTACTTGTGGGGAAGGACCCTGCAAAAACTCTAAATCCACCGGAGCATCAATCACCAACCTTGCTTGAGTTCTAAATACAGCCCACCATTGAACCCGATCACGTTTAAGGCTAGGGTAAGATGCATAATACACTTGAGACACTTGGTAAGATAAGACAAATGGATCATACTTGGGATACTTCTTAGTATGATTTACTTCGACAAGCTTATATTGTTCATGAATGTTCATTCCTTTACCACAATCCATCCAACTACAACTAAACAAAATAGTCTTGTACTCTTTTTCGGGACCGGTGTAGACAAGTTCAATTATGTCGTTTAAAATGGCAAAGTACTCTCCACCGTCCTCACTTGAGACACACACCCCGTAATTCATCGTAGATTTATGTTTTCCATAGGACTGTGTGTGGAAATTAAAGCCACCGACAAATATCTGGTTCCAAGTTCGAACACGCTTGAAAGGCCTCATAGACAATGCTCGCAACACATCGGAACTTAGTTTTTGTTCTCTCACCTATAACCGTTACGAATACAAGCGTCACACTAATTGAAATGTAATATATTATTATATTATCACAAATTAATCGAGATGCAATGTTCGAAAGGTATTATCACCTTGTGATGAAACCAATCAGGGAATTCACTTTCGCATTTCTCCATGACATCTTCTCAACGCAAATAATTTCGAGTACTAAGAATGTAGTCCTAAAACTGCCTAATAGATTAATGACACATGGTTAATCATTGCAGCAATTATATTAAATTTAAGGGATTTTCAAAAGTTTATCGTAAACATATATACCTTTCGTATTCAACAAGAATGCCGGTATTTCTTAAAACGAACAAATGAGCACGTTCGAGTTCCTTGTCATCTAAATACCGAGTTTTACCCAAATTTTACACACGACCCTTATCCACCGTGAACAGATTTGGGATTTCATCGTTGTCAGCCGGGGATTCCACATCAGCATTCACATTTCGACCTAGATCTCGTGTTTTTGTGTCAACTGAGGGCTGAAAGTAATTGGAGCAGAAGTTTGATATCTCTTCAGTGAGATAAGCGTTGCATATGGAACCTTCAACATGAGCCTTATTACCAATTTTTCGTTTCAGGTGATTGAGGAACCTGTAATTATGTTTATGTAGCCGTAGAAGTATAAGTAACGGAAATCAATGAAAGAGATGAAAGTAAGAGTTGAGAAAGGACTTTGTTTTTACCTTTCGAAAGGATACATCCACCGATATTGAACAGGTCCACATAACTTGCCCTCATATGGCAAATGAAAAATGCTCCATGGAGTTGAACAAAGATGGGGGGAAAACCTTCTCAAGCTTGCATAGGATCTCAGCTATGTTTTTTTCCAATCGCTCCATGTCGCTAACTGTAATTGTGTAGCAACATAAATCGCGAAAGAATTGGCTTATTTCTGTAATTGCATTCCATATATGGGTAGGGACCAATTCTCTCAAAGCAGTGGGCAACAACCTCTCCATGAACACGTGACAATCATGACTTTTCATTCCATGTAACTTACCTGATTGCAACTCAACGCATCGGCTCAAATTGGAAGCGTAATCATCAGGAAACCGCAGCTGTTTGACCCACTTACACAAAACCTTTCTCTGAGCCTTGTCAAGAGCAAATGGAGCCTTTGGCATGAATTCTTTTCCTTTATCATCCTCTTGAAGATGTAGCTGGGGCCGTTTACAGTATTTAGCAATGTCATTCCGAGCTGATGGGGTGTCACAAGATTCCTTTTTCACGTCCATTATAGTGTGAATCAACTGATCAAAAAAGTTTTTTTCAACGTGCATGACATCTAAGTTGTGACGAACAAGCAGATGTTTCCAATATGGAAGGTCTCATAGAGTGCTTTGCTTGAACCACCCTTTTTTTGCATTCTTGACACGTTTCAGTGCCTCGGGGCCATCTGTTGCTTTCGGGAGGTTTTTCACACATTCCCAAAGTTCCTCTCCTGAAATGATGTGAGGTGGTGAACCTTTTTCGACTTTGTTTTTACAAATTGCATTTTTACTATTTAGAAAAGGATGATTTGTCAGTAGGAATTGACGATGGCAGTCAAACCAAGAAACCTTACCACAATTTTCGAGCCAAAATGCTTTGCTTTTCTCCATGCAATATGGACAAGCCTTCTTACCGGCTGTGGTCCAACCAGATAACATACCATAAGCCGGGAAGTCACTAACGGTCCATAGGATGGCTGCTCGAAGATTGAAATTTTGTTTTCTCGAAATATCGTAAGTATTTGCCCCAACTTCCCACAACTGTTTCAACTCGTGTATGAGCGGCTGCATGTAAACATCCAAGTTGCCCTTAGGGTTTTTAGGACCAGGAACGAGTAACGAAAGAAACATGAACTGTCTTTTCATACACATTGACGGAGGCAAGTTATAAGGGATCAAAATGACAGGTCAACATGAATATTGTCCCCCAAACTGACCATGTGGAGCAAATCCATCCGTACATAGGCCAAGTCGAACATTACGAGGTTTAGAGGCAAACTCAGGAAAGCAACTATCTAAGTGTTTCCACGCTTCACTATCGCTAGGGTGTGCCATTGTGCCTTGAACTCGAGGATTTTTAGCATGCCATGTCATTTCCTCATAAATGTTTTTAGTTGCAAAAAGCCTTTGCAACCTAGGTGTGATAGGGAAATAAAATAGAACATTCAAAGGCACTAAGCTACCTTTAGAAGTATTCTTGTATCGGTCGTTGCCACACACCCTACATGTAGATAATTGAGCATAATCTTTCCAAAACAACATACATCCTTTCGAGCATGCATGAATCTTTTCATGGGGCAGCTCTAACCCCTTAACAATTTTCTTGACCTCATAGAATGTCTCGGCCATGTGGTTGTTGTTAGGAATCGCTTCATTAACCAAATAAGCAAATCCATCAACACATCTGTGCGGCAAATTATACTCACACTTTAGGCTAGTGATTCTAGAAGCCATCTCTAACACAGACAATGAACTCCCTTCGTACAACGGTTGTTCAGAAGCCCTTAACAAATCAAAAAATGGCTTGGCTTGTGCATTAGGATCCTCCTCTAATAAAACAGGTGGCTCTTCGGAATGGCCTTGATCTTGAGACTGACCAAAGGCATCCAAAACCATTTCACGATATTCATATGACTCCCTTCTACGAGTTCCTAGAAACCCTTCCCCATGACACATCCACTCGTAGTAATTAGGTAAAAAATCGCTGCGATACAAATGAAGTTTGACCGTATCTGGATCCCAGAGACGTTTGTTTTTGCATTTAAAACATGGACACCTAACTTCATTCGGGTTTCTACTCTCGGGATGATCTTCCACATATTTAAGGAATTCATCTACCCCCTTCAAGAACTCAGGATTAATAGAATTCCCAACCTTCCTTTCGTACATCCAGCTACGTTCTTTTCGTTTCATGATTACAAGTTCTACACAACTAACATATATGCCATTAATCACATTAGTCATAAAGCACAATATATATTCATTGTAGATCAAACTTTTATGGAAATGCAAATGAGAAGAGAAATGATTTCCAAGGGTCCTTATCACTCCAACCTACCCCATCCTTGTACGTTCAATCTCACTAGTGAATGTATGCCAGAATTTCAATTCTATGGAAAATCCGCCAGCATCTCCCTACAGTTCCCCGAGTACACAATATAGGCAATTAGAAACACCTATATATGTACCTAGAGAACATTGTAGAGAAATGACAAGCAAGGATCTTCCTTAGAATTAAAACAAAGGAATACATTCACCACCTAAGTGAGAATAAACGTACAAGGACAATCCCAACCGGGGACTAATCAAGACATACTCCTAATGTGTATGCCTTGAACGGGTATCTAGGCATATGATTATGCAAATGATTTTTTTAAAAAATATATATACTTAACTAACATACAAAAAATTATACAAATATATCATAATTAAACTTAACATAAACAAACATATCATAAAACCTTAACATTAATATAAACAAATCAAACCAAACTAAACTAACATATCATAATATTAAATATAGTAACATGCATTATAAAAAATTATACTTAAGTAAGAAGATTATAATGAACTAAAGTAATCTAACATACATCATATTAAACAAAACAAACAAAACGTACCTACAGTTTCATAATATTAAACTAATCTAATATACTTTAGTAAAACTAAACTAAATTAAACCACATTATATTAAAATAAACTAAACTAAAGTTTCATAATATTAAACTAATCTAATATACTTTAGTAAAACTAAACTAAATTAAACCACATTGAAAATTAAACTAAACTAAACTAAACTAACATACTTACACAAAAAAAAGTAACTAAACTAAACTAAAACACATTATATTAGGGTTTGTAATGTGACTAACCTTTAGATCTGCACTTGTTTTTTGACAAATTGTACAAATCCTACATACAAAATATTTTAAAAAAATAATTAAATTAAATAAATAAGAGTTTATTATTAAAAAAAATTAAAAAAAAATTGAGGAAAGGACAACTTACCAACTGCTTCAGCCACGCCGAGGGAAAGGAGGAGGCCGGAGGCTGCGGTGGTCGAGGGAGGCTGCGGTTGTGGTGTCAAGGAAGGCTGCAGATTTGAATGTGTTGTAAAAAAAACCGAATAAAAAAAAAAAACAACAACAAAAAACAAAAACAACTTACCTAGACGCGGCGCCGGCAACAACCGGAAGCGTCAACGGAGGGTCGCCGGAAAACGGAGGCTCGACCTCTTTCTCTTTCTCCTTTTCGTCCTCTTTCGCTTTCTCCTTTTCGTCCTCTTTCTCCTTTTCGTCCTCCTTTTGTTTTGGTCTTCGTCGGCGGCAGATTGGTGAAGACCGGCGCCAGAATCGGGACGGCCGGCGACGGATGCCCCTTTTTCTCTTTCCCTCTCTCTTTCTCTCTCCTTCTCTTTCTTCTGTTTCCAATTCGATTTTTTAGGTTTAGTCCAATTTGGGTATTTTTTAAAAAACGTATAATCTTGGGACATAATTTTTTTCCCTCGTAATTTTCATTTTTTTGTCGTAGATATTTAAATCCGTCGTAAAGTTGTGAGGGAAAAAAATCCGTCGTAATTTTTGAATTTTGCGACGGAAAAACCGTCCGTCGGAAGTAAACCGTCGCTATTTTGCCTATTTCTAGTAGTGCTTCTCGCATTATCTTTTGGACTAACATTTTTCCATTTACGTGAGTTCCACAAATTCCTTCGTGGACTATCCTCATTGCTCTTTGGGCATCCTTTTTTCCTAAACATAAGAGAGCTCGACGCTTAGGTATCCTTTTGTGTAGCTCGTTGTCTATAAGTATGTATTGGTAAGCCAAGAGTCTTAATACTCGTTTTGATCTTTTGTCAGCATTAGGAGGGTATTCTCCTTTGGTGACATAGTTGAGTATATCCGTATACCATGGTTCTTCTTCTTCTTCTTCATCCTGGATTACTTCATAATCTTCTATAGCTTGAATATAGGCCGGTTTGTTCCGTTTTTCTATAGTTAGAGGCATTTGCTCGATTTTTGTAGGAATCCTAACCATTGAGGCTAGCCTTGCCAAGGCATCAGCAACTTGATTTTCTTCTCTAGGTAGATATGTGTATTCTACCATCTCTAACTGATTAGTCAGGGTTTCCAGATAAGTTTGGTAAAGGGCTAGGCTTTCGCTCCTTACTTTCCATCTTGATGATTGATGATTAATGATGAGCTTTGAGGGATCAAAGATTTCACTTTGTAGGACTGTTTGGATGAGCGAGGAGTCATCCTCTTTGTAGGTTGGATCATCTTTTTCTCGCCCAAATAGTAATCCCATGACATTAAAGTCAAAGCTTGGGGGTGCTTTCTCCTTTCTGACAGGAGTTGGGATTTCATCTATGAAGTAGCAATCTAAATAAATTTTGAATCCCGGTTGCCTTATGCCATTTACGACAAATGGTTCGGGAAATTCATAGCATGGATAGTCTTCTCCTTCTTTTATAAATTGTACATTAAGGGTAAGCGGATACTGATCCATTGGGATTGCTTTCTTTCGGATGCAAGCGTCCCTACGTGCCTTTGACTTTTCTTGGGCTCGCTTGAGATCTTTCCGAGTCGGTTCGAAACCAAGTTCGAAAGTGTCTTATTTAGGCAGGCCAGGTGATTCCAGCGGTTTTGCTATTCCTTACTTCTTTCCTAGGGTCATCCCAGGAAAATGTCCTTGCTTCTTCAGAATAGCCTTCATGATCATATTGGAGTGGGGATCGTGGCAGAGAGGGGTCCTTTCATCCTCCTCAATTAAGGAGACCTCTTCATTAAAGCCCCACAAATCTTCATCGTCTTCATCGTGCTCCACATTAATTATTGGATTCTCTATAACTTTAATTCTCATGGGTGAAGCATCGATTGTAATGGGAATACCTCCAACTATAACCTTTACCTGTTGGTGGAGAGATGAGGGGACGGCCTTTAGGTCATGAAGCCAAGGGTGTTCCAATAATAGATTGAACGAAGCTTTAATATCTACTACTTAGAACATAGTACCGTGTTCTATCGCTCCCGCCGTTACATTCGTAGTAATTTTACCAAGAGCTTGACGACGAGTGTTGTCATAGGCTCTTATTCCTTGCGTTGAAGGGGTTAGGTCTTCATCCCTTATGCCTAGCATTCTTGCAGTTCTAATTGGACAGACATTAATGGCTGATCCATTGTCTACAAGAGTCAAAGGGACGTTCATTCTCTTGAAAACTACTGTGAGGTTTAATGCCTTAGAATGTTTGTCACCTTCTGGAGGTAAATCCTTGTCGGAAAAGGTGATCAAGTTGATAGGACTAGGGAGATCACTCGTGAGGAAATTAGCCAACCCCTCAAGAGTGTTGTCAGAATCTATCCCTATCTTATCTAAGGCATTCATTACAGCCAACCTATGTTCTCGAGACGTTTCCAGAAGCTTCCATACGTTCATTTCAACCTTGGTTTTCTTGAACTGTTTGACAATGTCATTATCTTTTATGATAGGTATGGGAACTTGTTGTGTGGTTGGCATAGGTTGTGTCGAAATATGAGGTTGCATTCTCCCGGATATTATGAGGATGTCTATTGATGAATCTTCTTCAATCCAAAAGTCATCCATGGCATATAACACCGAAGTTGGAGGTCCTACCATGTCTTTCAAGTAAACGTCTTCTTCGTCTCTATCCAAAACTCCATTAATATTTACGTCTTCTTCTTGTGGAACTTGGACTACCCTTTTATCATCAATCAATTTATGAATTAAATCCTTGAATTTAAAACAATTTTCAATAGTGTGACCCCCTGATTGATGATATTGACAATAAAATCTATCTGTCCTTTTTAACAATTCAAATGGTCTCTATTCGAGAGGGTTGACCTCGCTACTCTCGGAGAGCATATTGAACATTTATGCACATGGAATCCCAATTGGATTGTAGAGTCTATTACTCTTCTTGGGTTTATCGATTACTTGTAAAGGAAAGTGTTTCGCATCGTAGGTCATTCCCTTGGGTGTGAACTCTTTCCTAGGTTTATTTTTCGAGGGTGGAACCTCGTCATACTTCTTCTGAAGTTCCTTCACAACTTTGAGGGCTTCACGTAGCAAGTTTGATCCTTCCATCATGGACAGTGTAAGCAATTGTATGTCCTCTTTACTTGCAAATTCTGGAAGGTTATCCACGGCATTGAAAAAGATCTCCTCCTCTTCTTCGATAGCATGGATTTCTTCGACATGTTTGATGGGAGATGAGGGATCAACCTCGTTTTCCTCATCAGATATGGCCAAGGAGAGAGCGAGAGGCACATTTTCAATACTTGGCTTCTTACTGGCAGGAGGCAATGGTAGTTTGTTATTGTCGATTAAGTCTTGGATAGCTTCCTTAAGTTTCCAACAGTTCTCAGTAAGATGGCCCCTGCCTTGGTGATACTTGCAATTTGCATTGGGGTTCCAGTTAGCCGTCTTCTTCTCGACTGGTGGGTCCCCAAACGGTCCAAATAGGAGTTATAAGACCTTTTGCATTTAATCGGTCAAATGCGGTGTCATAACTCATGCCAATAGGTGTAAAGTTCCTCCTAAATGGTTTCTTTTGTCCTTGATTATTCATAGAAAGGACTTCACTTAAGTTAAAAGTTCCAACATTGTTTGAGTGGGTGGTTTTGGAAGAAGAAGGATTGTCGTTCTTCTTGCCTTTCCAGCCACTGTTGGAGTTATTGTTAGCAGCTTTCAACTTGGCTAGGTCGTCTTCAATATTAATTCCAATGTCATAGACGGCCTTGAAGGTATGGAGATTATTCTGGTATTTGAGATGCTTGGAGTACTTCTCTTGAAGGTTTTTGATGAATAACCTTACAGACTCTTTTTCGCTTTGCACCTCAATCATCTTAGCAGAGGTTTTTATCCATTTATTAAAGAAAGAGGTGAAACCTTCATTCTCTTTCTGCTTGAGGATTTCAAGTTCCCTATAGTCGGTCTCAACTTGAATATTGCATATGTATCTATCAATGAAAGCGTTTACTATGGAATCCCAAGTAGAGGTTCTTTCTTTCTCAAGAGAAAAGAACCATTGTTGCCAAACGGTTTCGAGAGATAGTGTGAACAGAGATGTAAACACCTTCTTGTCGATACCCTTAATACTCATTATTGTTTCGAAGGCTCTTAAATGAAAGTAAGGGTTATTAGTTGCTTTGAATTTCGGGATGTCGTTGGCATTGAACTTCTGCGGAAGAAGATCCTTGTCCACCGAGACCCCTTGTGAGCTAATACCTTGAAACTTGTAGTCACTAGACAGTTTGCTCAGACTCTCTTGCATGAAGTCCATCTGTTGTTGTTTCACAAGATAATCAATCTTGAGGGTTACAACCTTTAACGCCTTAGTCACATTAATAAGTTGGTTTCTGAGCTCATTGACTTCCTCTTGAGTTGCCATTATTGTCTTAGCTTTCCTCTTACGAGTGATGGGTTTGTCGAAAAGTTGGACTTGGATAAAAAGATTGTCTCTGATTAAACGCCCTTCCTTTCTTGACCATGCGCTGTAAATTAAACCATTTTTGTTTTAATTATTTGACTCAAATTGATCTTGACTTTACGGTTTGAAAGAGAAAAATCAAAAATAGGTGCATATTTTTGGCAAAAATAAGGTATATATTTTTGGGAGTTAAGTATAGGTTTTAAACAAGTTAATTTATTTGGAGGATTAATATCCGACTTACTCCCCTTAAAAAATGACGGAAAAAACGCGCATACAAGACTCCCTTAGACATTGTCAAAGTGTATATTAGTGTGTGCTTTATATAGTGAGTGTAAGTGACATGCTTTAACTCTTGTGTAAGACCATGGGACTTAGTGCTTAGACTCGATTAATGACTAAACAAGGTATAATTACCTGTAACAATTAACCGAATCGACTGGAAAACTTCTCAATTAGACATAAAGTGATGACTCAGCAATAAACCGAACTGTCGTCAAAATGACAGGACTGGCGCCTCTCTTTGTAGTGTAGCACCACACGACAGGACTGTCGCCAGGCGCTACACTCCATAGAGTGGCGCTTCAGTTCAAATTTTGGCGCCATTGCTAGAGCGTCGATCTGAAACTATTTTAGGTATTATTACTCTACAGGGTATGCCTAAAGTCGTACCAAGTCAACTCTGATTAAATATTAAACTTTATTTACTCACATTAATTAATTAATTAATCAATTAGGCAAAGTTATTTTAGTCATAAATCAATTTATTTTATCTTAGCACAAGTCAAACAAACGGTTAGGAAAAAACACATAAAGTATGCACAACCAATAATGCACAATTAGTTAAGTAGACCCAACATGATGCAATGAGTTTGCAACCTAACCATGGCTCTAGTTCTCTAAAGTTTTGGATATGGGTTAGTCAATAGAGGGTCCATGGTTAATTGTCCAGATGCACCGCGCGGAAGCCTTACCATGAAGGGTTGGCGCGAGTGGATGGGACACCGCGAGTTTAGAAAAACTCGCTTCCATAGTTTGGTGAATTCAACATTCTCGGATGTACCCTTTGTTGCTCAGAGCGTTCAATTAGGTAGACGGAGCATGAATTCCTAGAGTGTTATGTCCATATGTAGAACGCATATGGGTTTCAAAAAAGAGAGAAAAACTCAATCAGGAAGTAGGATCGAGCAAACAGTGCTAAAAACTGGTCGAAATTAGAACGCATATTTCTGGCT